AACAAAACACAAGACCGATAATATATGTATATACAAATATATATTAATAACAAGTTACAATACATGGAAACAGTACAAAGGACGAAGTGTGTGTGAATATTCTGTATGTGCGTGCGTGTGTGAATATTGTGCTTAGCGTGTTTCCACGCTATCCCTTGTTAGCGCCTACATTTCGAGGTTGATAGCTGAAATCCTGAAGGAAAAAGAGATAAAGGTGAAGGGTCAGCGGCTATTTATAGCCAGGGAAGAGAGACCCCTGGTGAAAGGGTTAACGGAGTGAAGGAGGAGTTAACTCCGACACTCTTACATTTTCAATACAAACTGGATATTGATTGCTCGACGACCAAAAGCAGGCTCCATAAATAAGTTTTTTTGTGAATCAGCTCCATGCATAGATCTGCTTTAACCAAAACAAAATAATAATATATCATAATCAGTGAGACCCACTCTCGCTCAAAAATCGAAACCTTAATTTCGAGCTGACTAAAAAAACTATACCCAAATTCCAGTAGACCCGAAACAGACCTGACACAGTGGGAGGACAGACGCCACCGATGACAGCCACCACCAGATGTCTATTTCACTTCGAATTTCACTAGTCTCTCTCCCAGTTGCCTTAGCAACAGCACCAGATAGAAGTTAACTGTTTTTTGTATATATGTAAATAAATTATACTTTTATTTTTACCCCTACTCAATGTCCTCTTTTGTTTGACTCTTGGATTTACGCTTCTTGAGGCAGAGAAGGAAGTAAGTAACAACAGCAACAAAAGGGTTCCGGGTTATTCATTTCTGCCTCCCTCTGCAACACGAAATTAATGAGATGGAATCTTTCCTATTGGCTGCTGTCCTGATTCATTTCTACAACTTGTCTCCATTATTCTATGCAACAAATGTTAAATATAGTTTGCTACTGAGATGCCCATTGTAGCACGATGTCGCGGTCAGCTTTGTGAGATGGCGTGGTGCTGAAAGGACCAAATCTATCAATAAATCCCGAATAATCATCACTAATGACACAGTTTACAAATCCCAGTGCATCTTAGCTATAAATAATGAAACATATAAAATTGTTCATCTTTTTTTTCTTTTCTTTTCTTTTTTTTTTTTATCTTGACAAGATTAGCGAACCCACTCACGGCAAGGTTTGCTATTCTTTAAAAGAAAATGATTGGTTTCCTTATTCTTTACACGAAAATCATCGGGTTCGTTTTTCTAGACGTGAATATTTTTGGACAAGTAACTTTAAGGTTTAAAATCTGTTTTCATATACAGGTTTTAATTTATTCACTGAGATATTCAGGAAACCTGATGATGGATAGATCTACGTCTACAGAGGTTGTGAAGCCATTACCAGGGGAGGATAGTTTACCATTGATTGACTGGATGAAGAACAAATCAATTATTCGATAGGAATTAAAATGTCAATCATGTAAGACATTTATGAATTGGACAAAGTGTAGTGCCTCTTTGAGCAGTTATGTGTGGAAATACCAAATGAAAGACTTAGAGAAAACTCATTTTTTGCTAAATCAAAAATGAAATTCCAGCATTAGATTCATATCATGTATTGTTGATGTATTAAATGAGGGAAAAGGAAACTTCTCGTGTTGTAAATATATCTCGCCAGACAAGGGTGGATTTTTACAAATTTTTCAAAGAGGTGTGCGCGAGACAGTTTGAGTTTAATCCTATAAAAGTTGGTGGACCTGGGATAAGAGTTCCAATCGATAAATTGTGCTTTTCACACAAATCAAAACACCATCGTGGAATGGCCCCTAAGAGTCAAGTCTGGATTTTTGGTTTTGGTAGATACAAAGGCATTATCTGAAATTGAGTATATGGAAATAGTTGATGACAAAAACCAAAAGACATTCCTGCCTTTAATCGATAAAGTGAGACATGGATCAAGTATTCACATCGATGAATGGTGAGATTACATAGAACTTGCTAAAAATCCAAGCTACTGGCAGAGAACACTTTTATACTTCCTTGACTTGAAGACAGGCTTTCACACACAACATAAAGAATCATACTGGGTAAAGCAAAAGACTAAAATTGAGAACATGCGAATATACAGACGCCATTTTTGACCAGATTATTTAAATCTGTTCATGTGGATGGCACAAAATATGGTTAACAGGTCGTTGGGGTTCTGTAATGCAATCACCATAAAATATCCTTTCAATAACTAAGTTATTTTAACTGATTTTTCATGGAAAATGAATAATATGTTATTTCAATTTTTTATTTATCAATAAATGAGTTCATTTATATTTGCAACATTGTTTTTAATAAATAGAACATATTTTGTCTAGGGGGTTGCTATTTTTTACATAGAGATGTTGGGTTCGATAATCTTGACTCGTTGATTCGTTTTTAGATGCTCTAGGATAACTGAATGACAAAAAACGCTTATCTAATGCATTTTGGTCCTAGAAAGAACTTCTTCAGATGGAGTCAGTCACACACACACACACACACACACACACACACACACACACACACATGCATACACACACACACATACACTGAATAAAACTGACGTAGTTTTCATTGGTTCAAATGAATCTAGCCCCCCCCTATATGAGGTAATTTGGGATTTTGTTGCGTAATACTATTGATATGCTCTATTATCTTACTTTTTATAAAACGCAGATTGTGTGTGTGTGTGTGTGTGTGTGTGTGTGTGTGTGTGTGTGTGTGTCTGTGTCTGTATGTTTATATATTGGATCGGATTTCCTATATTTTTCAACCGATTTCAACAAAACTTCACAGGACTACGTAAAATTACCTTGCGGTGGTTCTGACAGCCCCAAGAATTGGAAAAACACAAGTGTTTTTGCACGAAATCAATTTGAAAACACGATAAAACACGATTCTGTCGCCAGAATGAAAGGGGGGCAACTCATATCGAGTTATACTTATTATAAAACCCAGTGTGTGTGTGTGTGTGTGTGTGTGTGTGTGTGTGTGTGTGTGTGTGTGTGTGTTCGTTTATATATGGGATCGGATTTCCTACATTTTTCAACCGATTTCAACAAAACTTCACTTTTTTTTGGCAGGTAGTGTTTCTTATTGTCTTGCACACTTATTTCTTTATATTTACATTCAGAATGCTTTAAAAATTCCATTTACAAGACAATTGTTTATAATAAAATTCTATTCAATCGATAGACTCATAACGATTGAAAACAATGTTTTTGTTTGAGTTTGGGTTTGACCAATTCGTAAAAAAAAAAAAAAAACTAATTCAGACATGCGTGTCCGTCAACCTTAAACAATAATCTTTGTCAATTTTATTTTTCAGTCTTTATGATTGTCGATACTTGATCTATCTCTTACTGTTACATCCCCGGGCAATGCCGGGCTCTACTGCTAGTAATAAATATACTGAGCTCTCTTTCTGGATGAGTTTTAATATTTTATATTACTAGAATCCACTTGGATTTTATACCAACAGATTTATTACCTGTACAATATATATATATATATATATATATATATATATATATATATATATAAATCAAGATTACTTGCTAACAACTATGAACATGCTGATATTATACTGATGTGAGCTGCCATTAGACAAAGTTAGCTTCAATGTTTTTGTATTGCATATTCAACTGGGTTATTAATAGTTTATAATTAACCAGTAATTTAGGCAGAATTAATTGAAGGAATAATTTAAGGTTGAATACTTCCTATGCCAAACCTAATAGTAGGATACGACTGCATCAATAAAAACTTCCTCTTTTCATCCATTAGAAACTGTTTTCTTTGACGCCACCGAATGTCTAGGTCTGATAGAGGAACTATATCAGTCCAGACGTCTGGTAAATACCCCAATACTGAATCATTTCAAAAGTCATCAGTTGACTGTTTGGGAATATCAGTGCTGTAAGCTTGGATGTGTGGGGGGGGTGTAATGGATAATGGCTCAGAATTGTTAATCAGTGAGCTGAGTTCCAATTCCTGTTGGGTTTGTTATATTCACTTACACACAAATAACTTTGGGAAATGTATACATCCAGCTCTTCTTCCTCCCAGCTATGGATTAATTAGTAAAACTTTGTTGTAACCAGAAACTAAGGAAATAGAAGCACTATTTCAACCATTGTTTAGACATGGAAGTACAATGTTAGCCATATTGTTTTGGTGAATAAAAAACAGGAGTATCACTTCTGCCACCAGAGGAGTAACCAGATGAAACAGTGTTGTCGTTATTATTACAAACCCCCTTACCAAGTTGTGACATTTTGGAGATCCACATGTCTTTTTGTTGTGGTGTCTTCCCTCTAATGAGGCTATTGTGGACTCTTCCACTTACTATAAAGTTAGTAAGCCTCGGGGGAACAGTGACAGACTGAACGCTGGTCAACCGAAACACACTCCCAAGTCGTGTAACACACTTCTGTTGTATTCACTGTTCAATACACTATTTATCTGTAACCTCTTGTTTTATTATTTCTTAACCATTTGCTTGGTCACAACACTTTTCCATATACACATCCATCCCCCAGCTGTACTAGAAAAGTCAGTGGCCAAAGTTGCTAATCTCGAATTCCAGACAACTATTTAGGTTTCCCTTGAAAGTTTATAACATTAACAGCATCTCCCAAATAGAATCTATTTTCCTGTCACTTCCTATCTATTGGAATTTAGGTGTTGTCCATTTTAATGGTGACTTTGGCCATGATGAGCTATTTGTTGCTAGAACACTTCAAGCCCAAACACCTCATAATCACCAAAGTCAATAACATTGGACTTGAAACCTATTTTCCTGAAAAATTGTTTTAATAGAAAGATTTTATAAATTTAAACTGATGTAGACTGACTGCTTTGTCAATGAATGTCAAATGTTTCCATATAAGGAAACAGTGAATATTACAATTGCTTTTACCATTAATTTGTTGTAAAAATGAAATAACAATTAAAAATATGCAATGATATATTATCCAAAGCCTCACAAAAATCAATTTATAATATAGAATAATTAACTATTCTTTTTTAAGAAAGAAAGAAAGAAAGAAAGAAAGAAAGAAAAAAGAAAAAAGAAAGAAAGAAAGAAAGAAAGAAAGAAAGAAAGAAAGAAAAAGAAAGAAAGAAAAGAGGGAGGGAAAAAGAAAGAAAGAAAGAAAGAGGGAGGGTGAAAGAAAGAAAGAAAGAAAGAAAGAAAGAAAGAAAGAAAGAAAGAAAGAAAGAAAGAAAAAGAAAAAAGAGAGAAAGGAGAAAAAAGAAAAGAAAGAAAGAAAGAAAGAAAGAAAGAAAGAAAGAAAGAAAAGAGGGAGGGAAAAAGAAAGAAAGAAAGAAAGAAAGAAAAAAAAAAAAAAAAGAGAGAAAAGAGAAAAAAGAAAAGAAAGAGAAAGCAAGAAAGAAAACTATCAAGCATTTAATTTCTGCTTCAGTGAAATGGAAAATTTTGTCAATTTTGAATCTTAATTTGTACCATGTTACCGTTTTTCAATAATGGCTTATATTCTTTGTCAATTCTGTTAGACATTTTTACCAATTACACATAACCATAGCCAATTACTCTACACATGTGTATGATTGATGTTGCCATATTTTGTTAAAGTTGTTCATCTCAAATATTCAATGATGCAATAAAGAGAATTTCCAGTTTATGGAACAAACAAAAGGTTATTCTATCATTATGATTTACTAGATCAGAAAATTTAAATAAGCTGAACATGAAATTTTCACAAGCACTGCTAATATTTAAAATACTTGATTTTTAGTCAATGTTATTTCTAGAATTTAAATTTAGTCATATTGTAAGAACTTTCAGCAATAATCCTATTGTAAGTATGTTTTACATTTAGGTCAAGGACACTGAGATGGGCATATCCGCATGGACTAATAGTTAGCAAGTAGTGAGTTTGATGGCTATACTCATACTTGTGAACTTACACTAAATGAAGCTTAGTAAATAACATATTGCTTGTGAGACTTTTTTGTGTTGTCAATGAACACTCGTTGCCACTTTTGTAATGCTTGTTGTAGTAGAGACTTTGTAATCACAGATAAAACTTATAGTATGCTGTTGGACAATCAGATGCTTTTGAATAGCACTCACACACTAATAGTACTTGTTCGATAGTACTCACTTGAACAGTAATCTGTATAGTGATCCGAATAGAGAAATAGTATAGTGAATAGAGCAGAGAATAGCGGTCTGTATAGTAATAGAGGATAGACTAGAAATAGTGATCAAGTAGATGTCACATGACTTCCTACTTATGCGTGCCTTTATGGTCATGTGATCTGCTTAATTCAATAATGGAATCACCTGTGTTTGTTCAATGGCGATCTATGTTCAAACTCAAGTGTCAGCAGCAACACTTTATTCCTCTATAAAACTTTTATGGAAGTGTAGTCTAGTTCCTGTGGGCTATTCCCACACCTCATTACACTAAGCCTCTAAAGAGGTAACTACTTACCCCTCACCTCCCTACTATGTTTGACACAAGGCCAAAAAGTAAAAGTGTTGACTAGTGAACTACATATTTTCTGACCCCACTAGCAGGATACTTGCAGGATACCACATTGTGACCTTGTGCCAAACTTAGCAGGGAGGTGGGGGTAAGTAAGCTAAAATGTCAAAAAAACAAAAATTAGAGACATCTATCTAATAACATGTAGGTCCTTCGTTCATCTGAGTAACAGCGGTTATGCGATGTGGCATGGACTCTGCAAGAGCTATTGCATGGGTGTGTTTCAGAATTATTACAACTGGATTTTGTACTTCAGTTGTGGCTGCAGGTAATTTAGCAAGGTTTACAACATCAAGCCTGGTCAATACCTAAATGGTTGACTGAATGTGAATACCAGGTACTATAAGCTTGAATGTGTAGGCGGTATAATAGATAATGGCTTGGAATTATTAATTGGATAGCCAAATTCCAATTTTCGTTGGGTTCGTTATATTCACTTATGTGCAAATATCCTTCGGAAATGTATGAATCCATCTCTTCTTCCCCCCAGTTATGGGTTAATTAGTAAGACTTATATTAAATCATTTTTATATCAAAACAAATATTCTTACAATCTAAAAAATACCTTCTGGTTTTAAATAACTTGCAAGGAGTTGATAAGCCATAAAAATTGAATAAATCAACCAGTCTACAGTGCCAATAATTTTTACTGTATAAGGGCCACACTTGTAGTTTCATTATTTATTCTTCTAAACTCCGACAGAAAACACCCAACACCTGTTTATGCATCAGCCTTATGCGACTTCCTCTATGGATAAATTCAACTGGCTGCTCGAAAGAACTGAAACCATGAAAAACGTCTAACTGGGTGATATGTTTTCAATGGTAATATTCTCTGACTCAAGTAAGACACAGTAACTAATGACATGGTGTCAATATACTGTACATGATGTTGACTGATGGGTTGGGTGGCACCAGCATTGAAATGGAATATGATTTAATGCAACATTTCTCTTTGTTAGACAATGACCATCAGTTGGAGGTGTGTCTACTTTGGCAAAACCTGTGGATATGAAAAGTTCTTGCAAGTCACAATAAACTACATCCAGCAACAAGGTCTCTCATTGGGAGATTGTGGGTCTTGAGGAGCATGGCACCACCTCTTAATTGCTGTTGTTCCCAGGTTCATCCAGACCTGGGGTGGTAGCACCTGTTAGGGTCCCAGCTATGGGCAAATAGTGAATTCCAAAACAGAAACAAAACACTATGAAACTATAAAAATACCAGCAATAAATCTTTATATTAAAAAATTACCAAAAATACCTATTTGTAGAGAAATTACCAAAGATACATTTTATCTGTGGTTGAAGGCATACAATTGCATTCAAATTACTTAGATTTCAGTATTAAATAACCCATAGAGGTGTTGATGTGCCACTAAACAAAATCAACCAGACCACCATCTCATAAGTCACTGATGTCTGTCTGGAATTTATATATTTTTACATTCTTCTTGTTATCAGTTAGACTTAAATGTGGGTGCATAAGCGAATGGTAAGAAATTTCTGGACATGAGATCCAGGTTCGAATCTCACTAGTGTTGATTTGTTGCAGATCAATCTAGGGAGATAATCTTGGCATGCAACACTGTTTGGAAAACCATATCACGATTTGATTCAACCCTTGTGAGTGAAAGATGATGAAGTTATTCAGAAACGATCAGTGGATGTGTTAGTATAAAATCATAAGTCATCATGACCGAGGATCTGAACATATTAACCCAGTTCAACTGCTGCTCCTGCTGCACTCTCTCCCAGAAACTGTAACTAAGGTCTGCTCAGCATATTTGCAGTATAAACAATAAGTTGACTCTGTGGATGTTGAAGAAAGATAAATATGTCAGAGTGTTTTTGTGATCCTACCAAGGATTGAACTCACCATCCAAGGCTAACACCTTTCTGAAGATAATTAGACTCCCACTGCTCAGGTTAATAGATGTGTTCTAAGCAGTAGCAGTATCTTATCTCTTCCTACCAAAGTTGATTTAACATTTACGCATTATTTAAGTTTACTGAATCCAGACTTTGTGTCACATCTCATTGTGGAGACTGTGGGAAAAAAAAAAAAACATTTTTCTAGTTGTTTGGTGAAATTTTGTCATTCAGTTTATTGAGCAAGATCCTGTTTTATGTGTTTGTAAAAGATGTGTTGGTTTGAGAAGAACTGGATTCATACCTTTCCCAAGTTTATTTGCGTGAAAGTAAACAGGTTACCAATTCCTCTTTCTGAGTCACTGTTACATGACACACACATCTACACAAAAGAGGATATTTTTCACTGTGATACATCCTTCTCCTAACCACTGTTGGAAAAAAACATCATGTCACTTGAATTAACTGTCAAGATGATAAATTATGAGATTACCATAGGGGATAGATATGTATTATAAGCTTACTACTAACCACTGTTAGTAGTAAGCTTATGTAGTTAATATTTATCTGGAGACACATTTTAAATTAACTGTGAGTCCCCTAAAAAATTTTAATAGAAGATTTTACCATTTAAAAATAAATCAATACAACACATAGATGGATAAAAAGAATAAAAAATAAAATGAAACAATTATGGTTGAAAACAAAAAAAAATGAGATAAAAAAAGGAAATTAAGTTGGTGCAGTTTGAAGTTGGTTGATAAAAGTTTTGTACGAAATGAATGTTTTTTTAGATGTCCAAGTTCAAATAAAAGTCATTATGTAAGTGCATGAAATGAGAGAGGGGGATTTGCACACACACAAACATACACATGGGGGAGGGGAAATACAAATAGTGTGAGAGAGGAGTTCATTGAACTTAGCTGTAGCTTTGATCATTGGAAATGGGATAGATGATTGCAGACTGATACTTTAATGTTGCAGGTAACTGAAAAACAAAATTCTTGTGAAAGTGAATGTGTTTACTGGAGTATTTGTTGTCAATCCCTGTTTAAATTGTTTTTAAGAGTCTCACTGCTTAGGAATTTTTGACACTACAATAGAATGATTTTATTTGTTTATTATTTTCCTTCTCTGTTATGTGGTATGTTCTATATTACAACTACAAAAAAGGATTTGAAATGAAATGTTTTTGAAATTTAAAAAATACAAACTCACCAACGTTGTTTCTTGTGTGGACTATTAGAGACGAGTAGTCCACAAAAAAAAACATTGTTTAAAACCACCGGAAGACAAATAGTAGAGATGAACAAACCCCAAAGAAAAGCCAGGGATCTACACCCCCTGAACTATTCAACCCTATCATGGAATAAATGTAGATGTCTCTTCCGATTCAACATATGACACATTTCACATGGAAGGAAATGTTGATGAGTATCCCAATATTTGGCAATGAGTTCCATCATTGATGACAATGATGTGTGTGTGTGTGTGTGTGTGTGTGTGTGTGTGTGTGTGTGTGTGTGTGTGTGTGTGTGTAACCCACATCTCATCGACCATCAGCAGTAATAACAAGCACCCCAGGAGTGGGAGCTGTTCAATTTTTGACCTTGAGCCAAACCAAGACATTTAGCATTCAATAGATTTGGTCTGTGGTTGGAGTGGGAGTGTATTTTCCATCGATACCGTTGGTTGGTATATGAGCTCAGGTAAAAAAAAAATAAAGTTAGATTTTATTGCTGATTTTCAAGGCAAATTGATCTTTACATTGTTGCACTACATTTTTGTTTTATTTTCTAACATTTTTTCGACACTTGTGTTAAACTTATCAAATAATTCTCATTATCAACACATTCCTTGCCAGATACATTTACTGTTTTTGTCGAAATTTATCTCCGATTACATCACTCATTCGACCTTTATTTGAAAAATGTCAGATAAATTGTTTTGAAGGCTGTGTACAAGGACCACACTTCCACAGAGAAGGTAGATAACTCATGAAGGAACTTTTATCCGGAATTATG